ATGAATGATGCAGCATTTTAATTATTTGTTCCAGGGAGATCGTTTTGCTTCCATATTGGAATATTTAATCTTAGATCTGAAATGAAGGGGGAGCACTCAGGAGGGGGAGGTCGGAAAGGGGCTTGCTCGCTGGGTAGAAAGAGCTTCTTGTCTTCTTGTCCTTCTCTGGACAAACAAATGGTGCCGGCGCTCCCAGCAGGACGCAGAAGAAACCAGCCCAAGGGCCCAGCATTCCCTAACTTTCAGAGCCCTTTCCATGCTTTAGACATGCAACGCTAAAATAAAGGAAAGGAGCTTGTGAAAGGGCCTCTAGGACGTGGCCAAAGTCCAGCACTTAGGACTGTAGTTCCAGAGCACATTGGGACGCGTTTGCAGAGGCCATTTACCGTGATTGGGAAGCCCAGGACAGCCTCCTGATTGCCCTTTCATTCCCCTAGAGCCTGGGTTCCTACAGGATCCTGAAACAGTTGCTGCTTTTGCCGGCTGGGAGACCAAGGTGCTGGGCTGGGGGTGCTGGGGAGGGAGGTAGAACTGCTCTGTCCTGAGTGCAGGCTTTCTTGTTTCCAGGTGGAGACCTCTCTGAGAAAAGGGTGGGTCTGGAATGTGAAGGGTGCAGGATGTTAAAGAATCTTCCAACCTGCTTACTGAGTCTGATCCCTGTTTCCAATCTTAGCTACTGTGGGGCAATGGACAGAGCATGGATATTTTTAATGCAAGCTGTCATCTAGATCTTGGACTGACTTTTAAGGAACGTTTTGGTGAACTAGATGAAATAGATTTTAGATCTGTAAGAAATTCATACCTCTTCTTCTTCTTCTTCTTCTTCTTCTTCTTCTTCTTCTTCTTCTTCTTCTTCTTCTTCTTCTTCTTCTTCTTGATTTGTAAGATGTCTTAAGGAAAATCCATCTTTGCTATCCATCAGCTTAGAGGCCCCAGCAATAGAGTTCATTTATTTTGTGGTCAGGAAGCCCCCGCCCCCTGAGTTGGTTACAGGATGGGGGGAGGGGATCCTGCATTCTGGACACACCACACAGTTCCTGCTTAACAGATCCCCTTACTGCTTGCTTGACACTCTGCAGATTCCCCACCAAGTTGTGCTTCCTTTGAGCCTATAGGGCCTTTGAAAACTCCTTTTAGAGGGAGTCTCCTCTCTCTCTCTCTCTCTCTCTCTCTCTCTCTCTCTCTCTCTGTGTGTGTGTGTGTGTGAGAGAGAGAGAGAGAGAGAGAGAGAGAGAAAGAGAGAGAGAGATAGAGAGAGAGAGATGCTTCTATCCTGTCAAATCTTCATCCAATCATCTCTCATGGGAATACTCATTAATATTCTCTTTTGGGAATATTAAAAAGGAGAGAGAAAAAGAAAGAGGAGGAGAGGAGAGGAGAGGATTGAAGCAGGAGGATCTAAAGGAGGAGAAAACCAGTGCCAGAAATCTCCCTCCCTTGAGGTATTCCAGAGGAAGAGTGTGAATTGTCCCATTGCTATTCAATGATCTTCATCGCGCCCCCTCCCTGCTCTAATAGTGGAGGGGGAGGATAGTGAGAAAAGGAAAGAGAGAGGGAGAAAGGGAGAGGGGTAGGAAGGGATGGAAACAGAGAGAGAAGCTTGGAAAGCATGAAAGAATGGAGGAAGATGGAAGGAAGGAAGAAAAATCAGAAAGTTGCAAGGAATGCATGTGGTTGGGTTCAAAGGAAATCGAAGGCTTTGGGCAGCAAAAAAAATGATTCTGGTGCAAAGGGATCGAAGCAAAATACAGAAGAAAGTCAGCCCAAGTATCTAAGGATGCTTGAGCTCTTATTTGGGACACCCAATCAGAGCCAGTCAGACTAAGCCCTTCCACCTGCAGGGTATGGGGTATGGGTATCTAGCTCCTTGCAGCCTCTGAAGGGAGGAAGTCAGTGAAAAGAAAGGCCCGTTCCAAAGAAGGTTTCACTTTCCAAAGCCTTAGCACGTGAGATGAGAACTAGAAAGCAAAGGTCCAGGGGCGGTTATTCCTCTCAATCAGGTCCTTCCTCCAAAGGAATGTTTCCCTAATTTGCTCTCCTCCCCTTTCTCGATTTTGCTTTATTCTTTTGAATATTTATCATCTTGAATGTTTTACTTCTTTTAGCTCCCCTTCATGCTCTCGCGCGCACCCGCATATGCGCGCGCACGTGCGCACACCAAACACACACCAAACACACACACACACACACACACACACACACACACA